TCTCATGAGAATCATCATTTATGATGACTTGAAGCAGCCTCGAGTGTCTGATTGGATCAGATATCCCATTTTGTCTGTGCAAGTATAGTTGCAAGCCTTGGTTAACTTTTCTTAACCATAGTTTGGTGTGATGTCCAATAGACATCCCTCCAACTAAATGCTGGTATTAGTAATGGGAAAATTCCCAGTATTAAAGGTTTCCAGAACAGTCATTTTGTAACACACAATGAATGACTGTCAAGGAAATCCTTAAGTTACCATGGGCAGAAATATAACCTAAATACCTCTGCCACTCATATTCTGTATTACATTTTACATTTTTATGGACCATATTTTCTGAATTGACTGTAGTCTTTTGCTAGCATCTTTAGGCCCAAAGGCTAAGAAAAATGTTCCTGCTAAAAAGAATTGGACCTGTTCTGTGAAACACAGTATATGGTGCTTAAATAATGTATAAATCAGGTTGGACAGGAGCTGCCTGTCAGTTTTATTAACTTTGACCTTTTCTCCCATTATAAAGATGGTTTGGTAAATATTTAATGGCCCCTTATAGATCTTGACAGTTGGATCTCTGTTCCTGGAAGCAGTAGTAGGAGGGCAGAGGGAGTGAGCGCCTGTATTGTAAACGATTAACAAAAGTAGCTCAATCCAAAGAGTTGTCCTTCAAGGACAAAATGTGTGTTTTGTAATAATAATAATAATAATCCTTGAACTGTTAGATATGCCCTCCAAAGTAGAAACTGTACCAAGGTAATTCAACATCGGATTTTTTTTTGAATGGCAGAATTCAAAACTCAGCTCTGAATAGTGTAGATATGTGTCCTTTCCATTGTGTAGACTGTCTAAATTGGATGAAGGGCCCCCACTGCCACCATTTGCTATATAACAAGCCTGTCTCTTCCAGAGAGGTGTCAGCGGGGTCTAAATGGCTGAGCTTGCACTGGTCTTAATAGGATGCCATGGAAAAAAGAGGAAGGAAAAAGTGCCTTGCATTGGGGGCGGGGGGCTTCTTCTGCCAAGTTACCGGTGCCTTTGATTCCGTAAAAGGTGACACATATTGCTCTCATTGCAAATTCTAGCAGCAAAGATCGAAAACGGGGGTGCTTGACATTTTGAAATGTTGTCTTTCAAACTTGTACTGTCCCTTGGATTCATTGATTTCCCATTTAAGAAATCTTTGGGAGAAAAACAAATTCTAGCAAAATTCACTGGCCTAAGATGAGTGTGTGAGAATGAAGTGATACCCCACCCCCTCTAGTAGTGAGTGGCTCTGCTTTTATTAAGAATGCTATACATCTTTGTATTGCCATCTAGATCACACGATAAATTGGCCACGTAAATCAGAAAGCTGTTAAGCAGTATGGAATACTCTAGCCACTGACAATTCAGTCTTGTCACTGGATGGTTTCATTAATTTGTACAGCATTTTCCAAGAAAATAATTTCACTTGCTCGTGTGTCTCATCTGCTGTCCACAGCTTCCAGTAAGGCTGCTTTGTTTTCCCCGTGCTGTTAATCAGAGCTCTTTTGACCTCCTTTATCAGAGCTCCTTTTATAGTCATGAGCAATGGATTAATTTTTCCTCTGTTTGAAAGATATCCCCCTGGGGGAGGAGCCTGGCCACTCTGTTCCTCTGAGGGGGCTGCCCCACAGCAAGGAGGAGCAGCAGCATTTGGTTCCGTTCCTTTGTCTGCTGGTCTCCCCTAACTTCAGACTGTATGGACTACAAAGCTATTTGTTAGTTGGGAAAGTGTCTCTGAAGGTGTTATTGCACTTAAACACATTCTACCTAATTAATACATTCAAACCAAAGAAATTAACCCTAAAATGTGTTCTTCTTAGTAGTTCCCGGTGCCTAGGATTCACTGTGGTGTGGGCGATGGAGAGGGAAGCATAGATCATATGTATAACACACATGCATGTGCATTCAAAGTATTTGGAAGGCACTTGTGTGTTGCATATACATGTACATTTTCATAAAAATGATGTTCAGTGAGTAGGCATGTGAGGACACAGTCATCTCAGTTGTGGTGCTTTGCTTGGAATACTTAGTAGGTTCCCTCCCTCCTCGATTTGAGATGCTAGGTCAATATACTCTTATTTCTGTGTGTTTTCAGACTGTGAGGTTAATGGCCAGTTGAACTTTGGTTTTGGGTTCTGTATTGTTTCTGCCCTCTTTCAATTTTACTGATAAAACATCTGTCAGTTTTCTTGTGATTTTGTTACAGTCAGTCAAGTTGAGGTTCAGATAGATGGAGGAGTCTATTTAGACTCTGAGGGTAAAAGTATTTCAGTAGATATTACATCCCTTTCTCCTTATTGTTTCTGTACATGACACACATGGGCTGTGCACCTGGTTGATCTCAGCTTCTGCAGCAGAGGAAATTTTCATGGAATCCCTCCCACACCATCCCAGTGTGCATGTGCCTAACAGGTTCCTACCAACTACACAAGTAGTTCTAAGCCTTGCAGTTGTTTTCATCAAACCCCCTGAGCAGTTTTCAAACAAAAGGTGTTTATGGTATTTGTCTTCTGTTTAGAAAACCCAACTGTACCCAAGGTTCCGTGTGTGCCTCAAATTAACACTTCAAAGTTTGTTGCTGCACCTCTTTGCATTTGTGGTGGGGCATCCCCTTCAACCCTTGTAGGTTCTTATACTGGTTTCTAAGTCATAACCATGAGGCGATTTTCCCATGTGTGTCTCAACTTCTCTCTGCCTCTTATCTTCACATAATTCACTTATGGGATCTGATCATAGTCCAAGTGGCTGAGCATTGCCTAATCTCTAGCATCTCTGCAGCTGGGAACTAGTCCTGTCTGAGAATCCGTAGAGGTGCTGCCAGTCAGTGTGGAACTGAGGGATCTGGACCAATGGGACTTGGTACAAAGCAACTCCATGTGAATTTGCTGTCACAGGATGTCGCTATGGCCATCAGCTTGAGATGACTTTAAAAATTATCATCACCCACTTTAAGTCACAATAGCTTAGTGGAAACTCCAGTTGCAGAGACAGTGTGGCTCTGCATGCCAGAGGCTGGGGAGCAGCATCAGTGTGCTCTGGTTCTCAGAGTCTTGTAGTATCGTCCCACAGACTACTCGTACTTAATCCGTTGGTTTGGCTGCCATTTTGACATAGAGACATAGGAAAGTCTTTTTCTCATTTAGCCCAAGTGCCTGATCCTGCCTAATCACGGAAGCTAAGCAGGGTCAAGCATGTTGCAATCCGGATGGGTGACTTAATGTTGTGAACCACCCAGGGAACTTTGGCTGTGGGCAATATAGGAATGTAGATAATGATAATGATACAGCTTCCTGTTCTAAACTCTGTGTGTTCTTCTAAGTTGCATTTGCCCCTTCTCCTTGAATGATCTTTTCTGGAAAATGTAAAAAATATCAATTATTTTAATGACTAACTAATATCAATTACTGTAATGACATAACTATTAAAATTTGTGATTGTAAATATGTAACCCACAAATTACCATAATTGATTTTGGGTTTCGTGCTGTACAAAATGTTCTGAAACTTGGCAAATCAATTGATTTTCTTTGGTGTGGTCAAACACCCAGCCATCATTTCCTGACATGATTGAGTGGTGCAGGTAGGAATGTGCAATGATATGCAGAAAGTGGATTTATAATTGGCATAGTTTCCTTAAAATTGAGATTAGAAGATCTTTAAGATATCTTGAGAACCACTCAAGGATCTCCAAAGAATAGCAGTTGGCTCAGTTATTTTGCCTACTGACTTGTGAAATACTTATGGAAAGGAGGTTGGCCACAGTCTTATGATTATGGCAGGAGGAGCTGCAGTGCATTTTCCCTGATTAACTTTATCCTTTAGCTTATGGGAAACACTGTCATCCTCTGTAGTAGCAAAATCAGTGCCGTCCGTGCCAACAAAATTGGAGCCAAAGCAGGGCCATTGGAAAGCAAAGAGGACATGTCTGCATTCTGAGGAAACTCCCAGAATTTGCAGAAGTGCAAAACTTTGCTTTAAAACCACAAAGAGCCCCCCTCCCCCGGTGCAGCTGGGATATAAAGAACGTGTATGCTTTGGTGCTTGGAATCACAAAATGTTAATTGCTCATTATAAAAGAAAGGCAGAAAATATCGGTGGGGGGAAGGGCTCGCTTTAGTCCCTGACAGGTATAATAGCCCAGAGAAAGGGGGGGGGGGTGGCTGCCTAGAACCCTAGACAATAGCATTCCTCTGAACAGGTAAGGTTGTACTGAAATTGCTAGATCAGTGTGGTTTAGTGGCTAGAGGGCTGGATTGGAACTTGCAAGATCCAGGTTCTAGCCCCTGCTCAGCCATGAAAGTTCACTGGCTGACACTGAGCCAGTGGCAGACTCTCAGCCTCACCTACCCCACAGGGTTATTGTGAAGATAAAATGAAGAGGAAGAGTAACATGTAAGCCATGCTGGATTCCTTGCTAGAGGGAAAAAAGCAGGGTATGAACACAATGCAGTAATAATATTTGTGTACTAGTGCATTATTGTTGGGGTAGTGGGTCTGCCAACTGCTGAGGTTCTCTGTAGATTTCTAATGCCAGCTTTGTGTTTCTCGTCTAAGAGTGAACGAATAGATTTTGAGAGGTCTAGGTACTAGTGAAATGCAAAATTGCCACCTCTTAAGTTGATAGCTGATGCCACAGGCCTGATCACATGTCTTGTAAAAGTGCTGTAGCCTCCAGACTGTGTAGGAATGCTTGCCAAAAGAACAATAAAATACCATGTGGCTAATGATCAGCTGTTTTCCTCCAACAGCTCTGCTTTACAGGAGACGTTCCTAGTATAGCACAAGCTGTGCATTGGTTAAAGAAAATATTTTGGCTCTGGACTCAAATCACATTTGAGTTGTGAGTAAAGGTTGGGCTTGTGAAATGCTGCAATGGGATTAAAAAATAATTTTCGTTATGGTTGGTTTGGATGTTTTTGTTTTGCTTTGTTTTGCATTTCAACTGATTTCATATTTTGTCTCCTCCTCCCCTTTTCTTAGTTGCAATACCATGCAGGGCTAGCATCTGGCCTTTTGAATCAGCAGTCTTTGAAACGGTCTGCCAACCAGATGGGGGTATCTGCCAAGCGACGACCAAAAGCCCAGCCTACCACCTTGGTGTTACCACCTCAGTGAGTAGAAAATGTCGGGGTGTGTGGGGGGTACAGGAGGGAAAAAGGGAGAGAGATGCAATACCATACTGGGACTTTTCATGCTTCTTTTCTTGATGTTAGCAAGGTACTTTAGAGAAAACAATAGGGGAGTGGGAAATTTAAAAACCTTCTGTGAGACTTTTTCTATTTGAATGCAATATGCGTCTGTCCTGAGCTCACCCAAATACCTTTTTGGATCATAGCCTATGATTTTACCTGCTGGAGAGATGTCCCATGCTGAAGCTAACGAAGTGTAGAAAACTTTTTTTGTTGTGGTTCTTTTCACTTACAGATCAAAAACAAGAGACCTGATTATACCTCTGTTCATCTAAATTTTATATGTATATATAAACAACTTTTCTGCATCCCACTGGTTAAGTGTTTGTTAATTTTGTATTAGAGTCAAGACTTTCTTTACAGGTAACAGGCAATTGTGAGGACACGCAGTAATTGTAGCAACACCTGTCTTTAGCAGTTTAAGTAGTCTGGTTCTGATGCCAAAAAACAGAAAATCTCAAGCCCACACTACAAAGCTTATAAATTAATAAATACCTTAAAATATTTAGTGATCTATAAAGGGAAGCTATCACAAAAATAAATGAAGCATAAAACATTAGTGTGGTCCTTTGCACATCCTTCACTCAGAATCACTTTTTCATAGAGCCGGATCCACTGAAGTATGAGGCCTGTGAGGCCCTGGTTTTGGTGCCATCAGCAGCTTCCTTGTCACCAGCATGTGTAGTTGTATGCTTTTGCAGAACTCGGAGGGAATCTAAGTTTGTGGGACAAACAATAGCAGAAAGAAAAGGTTCCTGTTGCCTTTTTCTTGCTGCCTTTTTCTTGCTGCTGAGCCATGCTAGCAGTTGTGAGGACTGAGAAAGGAGTGTGTTACTCTTATCCATTAGGTTTGTTTGTTTGTTTGTTTGTTTGTTTGTTTATTTATTTATTAAAACATTTCTATGCCGCCCCATTCGCCGAAGCCTCGGGGCGGCTCACAACATAAAGTTAAAATATAATACATGCAACAGATTAACAATATAAAATAAGTCGCCCTGGCCAGATAAAATAAGCAAATAATATTAACAATTAAAATGACGCTTAAATAAAAAGGTCTTCGCCTGGCGCCGAAAAACAAATAACGACGGCGCCAGGCGGACCTCCCTGGGGAGCGCATTCCATAGATTGGGCACCACCGCAGAGAAAGCCCTTCTCCGAGTACCTACCCTCCTAATTTCTTTCATGGAGGGTTCCTGAAGAAGGGCCTCTCCCGCAGATCTCAAGGGGCGGGCGGGTGTACATGGATGTAAGCGCTCCTTCAGGTAAGGTTAGGAAATTAAGGAGAATATCACAATCTTTTGACTATCCTCCCTGCTCCCATCCAACCCCCCCCCCACCTACCCATGGCTTACTGGGTTGCCTACACCTGTTGGTGCAGGATAGGTGTACACTAAGCTGGTCAGCACAGTGGCATGTAAGCACATCCCAGAGCTCAGGTGACTGAAGGCCACTTGTCCTTCATATTTAGCCATGACACAATAGTATCAGAACTAAGCAGGTTCCATAGAAGCTGAGTTTGAAGGTCAGAGTTGAACTCCTTAGAGCAGTTTTGGATTACAAATTGTAGAAATGTGGGGGGGGGGGAGAAAGAAAACAAAGGTACTCAGAACTGCTGACGCAGTAGTGAATTTTAGCAGCCTAAAGAGCCATGCATGACAGCTGCTCATCTACAACTTTGAAACGGCCAGACTTGCCTAACAGTCTGCGTGTGCAAGTGGCAACCATTTATAGATGTACTTAGGAATTTTCAGCTGAAAAATAAAGCCCTGGGAAAACCTCCATGGAATACTTCCTGTTGCACATGAGTGACTGACATATATAAAGATGGGGAGTTGCTGGACCTGGGATGGCAGCTATGATGGGGGAGAGCTTGGCAGGGGTTTAGGGTTGTATTTTCACCACCATTCAGCTGCAAACACTTGGCGGGTGAGGGATGGCCATTATTGGGGATGCTGCGGCAGTCCTGGCTGGGAGTACGCTTGGAGGCTTGGATAACTTCGTTAGTGGTCTCTCTCTGTCTCTCCCATTTGCTCATTATTCTCTATCAGGCTGACAAGAAAAATGGAACAAACGCTAAAATTAAATAATTGCTTAAAAATGGGGATGAGCTTCTCATCTCTTTGGACTGTCATTTTGTGAGAAAATAGATTTTTCAGTTGGATGGAATTCTCTAGTCGGTGACTTGATTTACTATGGAAGCCTTAATATATTTTTGGGATAGGGAGGGGGAATGGAAAGACTTTAAAAAAAAAATCATATAGCTTTACACCCGGCTGCTTAACTTTCAGCATCACCCGGTGCTTCCACTTCTCTTAGTTTTTAGTGAACTGGTGGCATAGTTGTACAATTTTTAAGCTTCACAAGCTGATGCAACAGCAGCCCCAACTTTGCAAGTAATAAAACATGACATTTGATTAATGTATTGAATAGTTAGTTGGCCCAAATCATTCCCAATTGGGTGTCAGGTTTAGAATAGCCTTAATGTTTACATATTCACTGACTGTTGTTGTAAATAATTTACTGTTAAATGCATAAATACTTGCTTTATATAGGAACCAGGACTCTAGCATGTCCCAGTGCAGCCAACGCTGACTGGTTTTGAATCTATTTCCCTACAAGTCCTTGGAAGACGTTGCCCTCCATTCTGCTGCATGCATTTCTTTTAATTGAAGCTTCCGGAATCAACATCTCAGGGCTTGTTAATGATCGGCTACTTTAAAATAGAGCAGAAGCAAGCTAGGGTGCTGGTTTACATATGCCCATATCCTTCTGCAGCAAACACCCCAGGAGTGCTTTATAGTCTGAACTTGGGTTTGTTCATCCCTCAAGAACCCAGAGCTCCTGGTTCACATGTTATGAGAAAGAACTCTAGGATGATGCAGGGCGTGTGCAGGAAGAAACATGTATGCTTGCTGCTCTATTTTCAAGAAAAACATAGAGGCAAGCATTTTAAATGCTGAAGGACACTCTCTGTTTCCTGGCTTTGACTTGGGAGTGGGGTGCAGGAACGTCTAGTTTAGACTATAGAATGACAAGGCCTACAAAACAAAACAGAGCAGAACCGTGATTTGAATGAAAGTTAGTACTAAACAGTCACACTGATGTCCTTCAACTCATACAATTAATGACAGTTTTATTCCTGAAATGCCAGGTGTTCACTTTCTTCATAACGAACAAGGGACGGAATGCCCTTTTGTGTGCCTTTTTTCTAGATGGTGTCAGAATTTGGCCAGCGCCCGCCTTTCTTTGGACATGGGCAACATCTTAAAGTGCAGCGGAGATTGCAGAATTCTTGCTATGGAAATGAACAGTGTTCTGATACTTGTTGTCCTACAAAAAGGTGGCAGTTAATGTTTAGAAGACCAAAAGCTGCTATTAGCATTTCACGAGAGAGAATGAGAGAACCTGAGCATATAGCAGTAACTTCCACTCTTCCAAATTTCTTTAGCGTTAAGTGAAGTTTTGCTTGTCTTTCTCCCCTTACTGACAAATGCTGCATTAAGTAACAATATTCATTAAATACCATGGAGAGGAGATGCAATAAAGAAATAATCCATGGACGTGGCTTCATGCTTCTCCCTAGAAGAGTTAATATAATTAAAGATTAAAATACTGTGTGCATTCTCAAAGATGGAGGTACAATTTTGTATGATGGGAATTGCATTAATAAGGAAGAGATCATTTTCCAATAACTTTCAGTACAAAAGATTCACGCAAGATCCTCGCTCCTGCAGGTTTATCACACTAGTCCTTTAGTATTACTTTTTCAAGATTCTAAATTAACAAGTATAAAAACTGGGTCTGCTCCTCCCAGAAAGTGCTACTTGAACATGCGTCTTTTCCATATCCAGTGTGCTCCTTGGCACGGCTGGGAGTGTGCAGGAAGCTGGCTGGTTGTTTGTGTGTTTTTTATTTAGATTGCATTACTTTTGTGCCTGAAAGTTTTGCATACTTTGTGTTTCCTTTGCTGAAATTGTGCTTGTTTTGTGTTTCCTTCATGGCCTAATTGTTTGTTCCAGTGAACACATTCATCTTCTGCCTTTCTTCCCTTGCTCCTTTTCTCCTCTCTCTGCCACTGTCTGCCGTGGTGATAGAGCAGACATCAGCAGTACTGTCATCCTCTCCCCCAGCCAAGTGGCTCGACACAGTGCCACTCTGGGATGTCTGGGGAGAAGGGAGCGAAGAATGCCCCAAGACACAGTGGCAGGGCGTTTCCTCACCAAATGCCCTGGAGCTTTGGGGGTGGGATGGTGGCCAGAAGCAGCTGCTCCTGTGGAGGCAGGAGGGGGAGGGAGCCCTGGATGGAACTCCTGCTTGTATTTGTTCATCTCAGGACGAATGCAAAGTGGCCTGCATGGGGCGTGTCCAAAAAAGAAATGCACAACCCTTGATTCAGTTCGTGCTCGGACCTGAAGAAAGCGCACTGCCCTGACAAATGCGTGAGGGCTGCGTAATACAAGCAGTAGGAGCCAGCTGGCACCCTAAAGTCCCAGTCCTCCTCCCATACAGGACAGACCCCCTCTTCCCTCCAGTGCATGCACCCTTCCTTGGCCCCAATGTGAACAGGAATGTACCGTATTTCCTCGAAAATAAGGCCTAGTACTATTTTTGGTACTTGCTAAAATGTAAGACCTACCCCGAAAGTAAGACCTAGCGGTGTTTATTCCCAGCACCAGTGGGGAACATAAAGAGCCTTTTTAAACTTAACTTTAACTTAATGGACTGTGTGGAGGGAGCAGAGCCACATAAACCGATGCTTCCTCTACAGCGTCGGCTCCTGTCACAGGCGGAGTAATACCAAATGATATCAAATGTACATGTATTCATGCTGTTGTACATGAATAAGTGTGGATTGTTGTACACATTAAAAAATAAAATAATAAGACCTACCCCGAAAACAAGACCTAGTGTGTTTTGTGAGC